ATCCAATCTTGTAAGAGCAACATCAGCACCAGAATTCATTTTCACCACTTGGCTTCAAAGTGAAAACTGGATGGGAGGGGAATAATACTAAAGACAGTAGGAAGGGGCTTGGTGCCTGTAGCTTAGCGGTTAGGGTGCCGGCCACATACACCAAGGCAGGCAGGTTGGAACCCGGCCTGGGCCTGCTAAACAACAATGACAACTGCAACAACAACAAAAAAATACAGCCAGGCATTGTGGCAGGTGCCTGCAATCCCACCTGCTTGGGAGGCTGAGGCAAGAGAATCACTTAAGCCCAAGAGCTTGAGGTTGCTGTGAGCTATGACACCATTGCACTCTACTGAGGGAGACATAATGAGACTCTGTCTCAAAAAAAAAAAAAAAAAAAAAGACGATAGGAAAGCATTGCTACATCCAGCTGAAAGACTGAGAGCTACACTTCCAGCATACAGGAGTATGTGCTTGGCACACAGACATGCTACAAGTAATAGCTATACACTCAGAGTAAAAGATACAAAAACAACTAAGGAAATCTCTAGAGAACTGAAAGAAGACAGGTAAATTTCAGAGATGAGGTGCAACTTGGAGCAAGTGACACTCCTCTGTATTCTCTGTGGTTTGCTCATTTTTGTTTTGTTTTCTTTGTAGCTTTGGTCTGTGAGTGCCACAGTCATGGAGATAGAAGCACAGATATAGGGAAAATCAAAAGAAAGATCATCTTCCTGGCAGGAGAAACTAAAGGAAGAAGCCCAGGACTCCCCAGAGTAAGGGAGAATCCCAGAAAGGACAGTTAGAGCAGGGAGCACCCCCAAATTCTACATATAGATTCAGCTCAGGCCTCTACTAGACCCCTGAACTATACATGTGTGGGGCAAAGAAGTTTGCAGCTATGACTTAAAGAACTGAACTGAGATCTGACCTGTCACCTATCACAGATAATCAAAACAAACACCTCACTACTCTTCAGAACAATGAGACATCATACAAAGACTCCACAACAAGGCATTCACAATGTCCAGATTATAATCCAAAATTATGTGACATATGAAGAGTCAGAAAATATGAATCATTCCCAAAGGAAAAGAGAATCAACAGACACCAATCCTGATATGACCTGGATGCTAGAATCTTCAGATGGGATTTTAATATAGTTATAACAACTATGATCAATGGTCGAAAGGAAGATGCTTGCAATTAATAAAGTAGTAAAAAAATCAATAGAAAAAAAAGAACCAAATGAAATTTTTAGAATAGAAAAGTACAGTATCTGAATTTAAAATAAAAAATTCACTTGATGGCCTTAAGGAAAGACTGGAGATGATAAAAGAAGTCAGTGAACTTGAAAATATATTAATAGAAATTATCTTATCAAAAGTAGACAAAGAAAAGAATGAAAACAACAAATGGAGTTTCATGGAATTGTGAAAATTCTTTAAAGTCTAACATAAGGATATCGGAATAACAGAAAAGAGAGAACAACTGAAGTAGAAAAAATATTCTAAAAAGTAATGGCTGAAAACTCCCCAAATTTAGTAAAAGTCATAAATTTATAAATATAAGAATCTCAGCAAACCCCAGTAAATTCAAAGAGAAACACATCAGAGTCAAACTTCTGAAAACCATAACAAAGGAAAAATCTTGACAGCAACCCATACGGAGAGACAATCATTAGAATTGCCACAGATTTCTTATCAAAAACCATGGAAACAAGAAACAGTGAATCCTGAGAGAAAGGAACTATCAGCCTCGAGGTATCTTTCAATAATAAAGATGAAGTGAAGACTTTACTTTCAGATAAGAAAAACTAAGAGAATTTTTTACCACCTGCCTGACCTATATGGAATGCAAAATAAAAATTACTTAAGGCTGCAGAGAGATGATACCAGAAGTCAGACCTTCAGGAATGAATGAAGCACATCAGAAATAGAATAAGTATGAAAGACGCTAGTTTCTCTTAATTTCTTTAAAATACATATGATTGTTAAAGCAAAAATAAACACCATGCATTGTGGGTTTACAATGCATGCAAGTATGATATATTTGACAATTACAACAGAGGGGGGAAGGATAAGTGAACCTGTATCACTATAAGCTTCTACATTTTACCAGAAACGATACATTACCTCTAAGTAGACTATGAAAAGTCAACAATACTTATTGTCATACCTAGAGTAAACATTAAAATATTAGAGAAAAGAGATACAGCAAAAATACCAATGGATAAATTAAAATAGTGTTCTAAAAAAAAATTGAAATAATCTAAAAGAAGTTAAAAAAGGAGGAACAAAACAAACAAGCAAGCAAAATAAACTGGAAGGAACAAACAGAAAGCAAATAATGAAATGGTAGGCCTGAATCCAATCATATCCATACAATTAAATGTTAATTAACTATATACTCTAAATAAAAGGCAGAGACTATCAGAATGTATAAAAAAGCAAGTTCCGACTATATGTTATCTGTAAGAGATTGAGTTCAAATACAGAGACAAGAATCAGTTGAAAATAAGTAGACAGAACAAGAAACACCAGGTATATAGTAAACATAACAAGGTAGGAA